TTTTTTTTTTTTTTTTTTAAACATCTTTATTGGGGTATAATTGCTTTACAATTGTGTGTTAGTTTCTGCTCTACAACAAAGTGAATCAGCCATACATATACATATGTTCCCATATGTCTTCCCTCTTGCGTCTCCCCCCCTCCCACTCTCCCTATCCCACCCCTCCAGGCCGTCACAAAGCACCGAGCTAATATCCCTGTGCCTTGCGGCTGCTTCCCCCTAGCTATCTACCTTACTACGTTTGTTAGTGTGTATATGTCCATGACTCTCTCTCACCCTGTCAAAGCTCACCCTTCCCCCTCCCCATATCCTCAAGTCCGTTCTCCAGTAGGTCTGCGTCTTTATTCCTGTCTTACCCCTAGGTTCTTCATGACATTTTTTTTCCCCTTAAATTCCATATATATGCGTTAGCATACGGTATTTGTCTTTTTCTTTCTGACTTACTTCACTCTGTATGACAGACTCTAGGTCTATCCACCTCATTACAAATAGCTCAATTTCGTTTCTTTTTATGGCTGAGTAATATTCCATTGTATATATGTGCCACATCTTCTTTATCCATTCATCCGATGATGGGCGCTTAGGTTGTTTCCATCTCCGGGCTATTGTAAATAGAGCTGCAATGAACATTTTGGTACATGACTCTTTTTGAATTTTGGTTTTCTCAGGGTATATGCCCAGTAGTGGGATTGCTGGGTCATATGGTAATTCTATTTGTAGTTTTTTAAGGAACCTCCATACTGTTCTCCATAGTGGCTGAACCAATTCACATTCCCACCAGCAGTGCAACAGTGTTCCCTTTTCTCCACACCCTCTCCAGCATTTATTGTTTCTAGATTTTTTGATGATGGCCATTCTGACTGGTGTGAGATGATATCTCATTGTAGTTTTGATTTGCATTTCTCTAATGATTAATGATGTTGAGCATTCTTTCATGTGTTTGTTGCCATTCTGTATATCTTCTTTGGAGAAATGTCTATTTAGGTCTTCTGCCCATTTTTGGATTGGGTTGTTTGTTTTTTTGTTATTGAGCTGCATGAGCTGCTTGTAAATTTTGGAGATTAAACCTTTGTCAGTTGCTTCATTTGCAAATATTTTCTCCCATTCTGAGGGTTGTCTTTTGGTCTTGATTATGGTTTCCTTTGCTGTGCAAAAGCTTTGAAGTTTCATTAGGTCCCATTTGTTTATTTTTGTTTTTATTTCCATTACTCTAGGAGGTGGGTCAGAAAGGATCTTGCTGTGATTTATGTCATAGAGTGTTCTGCCTATGTTTTCCTCTAAGAGTTTGATAGTTTCTGGCCTTACATTTAGGTCTTTAATCCATTTTGAGCTTATTTTTGTGTATGGTGTTAGGGAGTGATCTAATCTCATACTTTTACATGTACCTGTCCAGTTTTCCCAGCACCATTTATTGAAGAGGCTGTCCTTTCTCCACTGTACATTCCTGCCACCTTTATCAAAGATAAGGTGTCCATATGTGCGTGGGTTTATCGCTGGGCTTTCTATCCTATTCCATTGATCTATATTTCTGTTTTTGTGCCAGTACCATACTGTCTTGATTACTGTAGCTTTGTAGTATAGTCTGAAGTCAGGGAGCCTGATTCCTCCAGCTCCTTTTTTCGTTCTCAAGATTGCTTTGGCTATTCGGGGTCTTTTGTGTTTCCATACAAATTGTGAAATTTTTTGTTCTAGTTCTGTGAAAAATGCCAGTGGTAGTTTGATAGGGATTGCATTGAATACTGCTTTAGTTTTAATTACATGGATTTTGGCCTGTAGTGTATTAAAGTATCTTTATTTTTGTTATGTCAATTTGAATATCCACATTGAACCATGAGTTTTTAAGGAAGAACTTTAAAATTTCGAAGTGGTTGGGACTCCCCCCCAACATTTATTGTACTTTTAATAAAAGAATAGATTTGTATATACACTAACGTGTATGAAATGGATAACCAATAAGAACCTGCTGTATAAAAAAATAAATAAAATTCAAAAAACAAACAAACAAAAAATCCATCACTACTGAAATTACAAGTTATTTTTTCTTGTTAATGAAGTTTTGAAATTCTATTCCCTTAGCAACTATAAAAACAAACAAAACAAAACAAAATGAAACAAGAAGAATAGATTTGTATTATTTCTACTTTTTTGGACTTTATTTGGGTTTTCTTTGTGGTGTAGTATGATCAATTATTGTCTGTGTTCCAGGGTCCTTAAAAAGAAAGCTTATGTATATTCTGTTTTCAAGGTATAAAATTAGCTGTATGTCATTTTAGTTCTACCTTATTAATTATATTATTTAGGTCTTCTGTTTCATTATTTATCTTTTATCTATATTATCTGTTTGGATTAAAGAGGTTAACTAAAGTGTTCTGATAATTTCTCTCTCTCTCTAGCTCCTATATAGCCTGAAGTCTTCATTTTATGAGTATTGATGCTATCTTGAGGTGCATTGATGTTCACAGTGGTTATATTTTTATTATGAATGTGCTCTTCTTTGACTCATTTAATTCTCCTTGGCCTGGATTCAACCTTATTTAATATCAAGGTCATGTCTCCTGGTTTCTTTTGATTTGCATTTACCCACCTCTTATTTTCAATATTCCTAAATAACTTTGTTTTAGATGTGTCTTATGTATAGCAGAGGGTTGGATTTTGCTTTGCATCCAATTTTTTAATAAGTGGGTTTGGGCCATCTACATTGGCTCTGTTAAATATTTTAGGTTATACTTTGTGTCTTTATAATTTTTAATAATTCTCTGTATGGACTCTGCTCTGTGTGTGTGCTTCTCTTGTAAAATTTAGGAAAGTATTTTATTGTTTCTCTACTGTATACTTTCAAGAGTTTATACAATACTCAATTCTTTTTTCATAAGCAGTGTCTATCAATTTCCTAATATGAAAAATGGTAAAATTATTATATTTATCCTTCTTTCCCTCATATTTTCCTACTACTTGTATTAATGATGCTTCTTAATCTTAAATATACATAGATTTCTCTTAGTTGATTTGAGTTTTCAAATGATATCTTCTGACCTTCAGATACTAAAATGAGGAAATCAGCATCTTCTCCTAATTTTTATCAGTCTTTTCTACATAGTCAGTGTATATAATATATACATTTTGTTTTGCCATCCTAATCTATTTCTTTTATATTTCTTCAGTTAGAGAGATTTGGTGCTTACCACTAACTGCTCCCTTTCCCACTGTTTTTCCAGTTATCTCTTATTTGGCTGAAGTATCCTCTAGTTTCAAGATGGGTTCATGAAAAATACCTGTTCAGAACTATCTGTTGACTTTATATTTGAATGACAGTTTGACAGGCTGTAATCTCTTTAAGTCATAGTTTCTTCCCTGGGTGGGGTTTAGGGAAGTCTAAATCCAGCGTGTATTTTACTACTTATTAGTGAGTTGATCATTTTTTCCCCCTTATGTGTGGTTGTTTTCAAACTTTATTACATGAACAAAACAATCTGTGATTAGATAAGTCTCTATGATTCTGGGATAAACACAACTAATGGAGTATCTTGTATACTGGTATGTCTTCTCATATACTTGCATATATAAGTATTATATTTAAAATATTCTGCAGTCTTCAAGACAGAGTGTATATTAAAAGTATTTTCCCATTAACTGCCCTCGCAAAGACATGATCACAGGTCTAGTGCTTTGAATAATAAACTTTTAAAAGTTAGAAGTACGTTTTATGCTTTTCAGAAGTCAGTGAATTAACAGAGATCTAATTTAGTATTGAATTGTCTATTATTTTCTTCTGTTCTTTATTGAACCCTATTTCTTTCATCTTGCTTTATTTTTAGTCAACAAATTTTTAAGTGGACAGTAAACTATTATTAACAATGAGCACAGTGTTGTACTGCAGATCCCAGAATTTTTTCACCTTGCATGTCTGAAACTCTGTAATTCTCATTGAACTGCAATTCCCCACTTCCCCATTCTTCTAGTCCCTGGAAACTACCATTCTACACTCAGTTTCTGTGAATTCTACTTTAGATACCTCATATAAATGGAATCATGCAATATTTGTGCTTTTGTGAGTGGTTTATTTCACTTAGCATAATGCCCTCGAGGTTCATTCATGTCATAGCATAAAGATAGGATTTCTTTTTATAAATGGCTGAATAATATTCCATTGTATATATATAACCACATATTCTTTATTTATCTGTTGATGGAATTTATGTTGTTTCTACCTCTTGGCTATTGTGAATAATGCTGCAATGAACACGTGAGTACAAATATCTCAAGATCCTGATTTTAATTCTGTCATTATATTATGCAGTAACTCTAGTGAGATCAGAGAAAGTACCCTGTAATCAAACACATAAATATTTTTATAACAGAAAATACTAATTCACACTAAGTAGACTTTTAAAAGTCTATAATTAGGCACATTCCATTCCAGGTCAGATATTGCTGCCAAAATGAGTTCAAGTCAGGTCAGGTTTTGCCGTCAAGTAAGTTTTGAAGAAAACTTTCAGTTTTCAGGGCTTCTTTGTATTTTGGAGTTGAAGTAAACATTTGAGAATCTGTACATCCATTGAATATTTTTCTTTCCCATATGCTTTTGGAAGGTTTACTGCTCTGGTGATGAAGGTTTACATAGCTCTGAAATGAGAAGATAATATTTAACGGTAATGAGGGAACAGAAAGCCATTTTAGTGCCAGGCTTTTGAGGCTGAAAAATCATACAAGCACTAAAAATACTTAGAAGAAGTGTTTTTGAATTTTAAAAGATTGTTGTTGGAACGAAGTCTACAGTTTCGTTGTTGTTGTTGTTCTCCTATAGAAAAAAGAGGCTGTGGGTTTCTCAGTCAACCCCGAAGCTGACAGAACATTTCAATTTTTTGACCACCATCTGATGGAATCTATTAAAATGGGTGATCCCAAAGTGCATGAATTCCTTAGGTTACTTGCACTCTGCCACACCGTAATGTCAGAGGAAAATAGTGCAGGTAAGTGCAAAGTGTGTCTGAGTAGTGAGCCTTGTTTTTTAAATCAGTATTGATATTTTTATTAAAAATGTTTGGAATTGGAAGGATTTTCTAATTCAGAATATAGCATTGCATGAGGGGTTTACCTATCACTAACTGTTCTTTGTATTGGAAGGATTTTCTAATTCAGAATATAGCATTGCACGAGGGGTTTACCTATCACTAACGGTTCTTTGTATTTATTTATATTCTAAATGTTTTCCAAAAGATATGGAGAGACTTAAAGGAAAAGAAAAAGAAAAGAAATAGGAACAACAAAAAGATGAGGGCCTAGATATGTCAGTTAAAGGGGATGAAATATCTTTTATGATTGAGCACCGTATTTGACTGTGAGCTTCCTGGTAGGCAGGACAATCAAAGAAACACTCTTGAGCCACTTAGCTCTTGTTATTAACATGCACATCTAATAGATGCGGATAGCCATCAGGCGTATGCTTAGAATGAATTTTCCCAGTAATGCGACAGATTTACACTGATAGAATACTTGTGTTTAGTCCCCGTTATGAACAAGTTCCACACTACCAGGATGGTTGTTCAGAGCTCAGAAGAGAACAAAATCACCTGGGCCGCTTTAATATTGAAGCAATGAGGCAGGTAGACAATGGACGGTGAATTGGCTTCTCACTCCATTTGGGCCCAGTCTATTCCATTTACAAGTTTTATTTCTTTCTACTATCACCTGTTGGGTGAAAATTACCACTCAAGTAATTTCAACTCAAAAGTGAAATATATATAGTCTGCAGACTGTATATATGTATATGTGTGATATATATATGTATGTGTGTATATGTATGTGCATATGTACATTTGGATATATGTTTTCTTTCTCTCTCTATATATTTTTCTTCTTTTTTTCTTTGTTGGGACTGCATTCAAGCCATAGTTTTGTCCTTGATGATGCTGGACTAACTCATTCCTCTGATTTTAATTGCTGTGAGGATTCACATAATTATATTTATAACTTAAACTGATATTTATAATACTAATGTATCTGAGGATAGCACAATGCCTTCAAGTAAATTTCTTTTATCTCTGACTTTGAGTTTATTTCATTTTTAAAGCTCTATTTTATTTTAATAGCGATTTGTTTTTCTTTCAATATCGTGATATTTTCTTAGATCTCTTTGAGGATATTAATTATTCTTAATTTGAAATCTTCTTTTGTTTCCTCTATTATGTTTCATTTTACGGAATGTCGTTTTTTGAGTTGTGTGTCTAACTTTCATGTTGTTCTCAAACGTTTGATGGTTTGTGGTTGCCTGTTCCTACTTGTGTTTGAGAATCCCTGTTTGCCTCTTGGTGAACGTAGGTTATGATTACAGTGGCCTGTCTCCCAAGATTGTGGGGGAAAGGCACAATACATAGATCATCTTCTGGGTATGGGGTTCCCCTCTCCTGGAATTCATATGATACCTCGGTTTAGCTATCTTACTTTTTCAGATCTAGTGCTAGGAGTCTGTGCCAGAACCCTAATGTGAGACAAAGTTATACTTAAGGTCTGGGCTGGAAGAAAATATCAGAGTCATGGAGTTCCTTTCTCTCATTAATTTATTTCTCTTATCCTTGTGGAATTCTAAAGCTACTTCTGGCTGTTTTCAGCTTTGGTCTCCAGCCCCAGCATTCAAATTTTAAAAGTTTCCTTAGGTGGATTGTGTACTTTGTGTAGAAGAACATTTTCAAGGTTCCATCCTGGGGCAAATGTCACTGCAGCCCGCTGTTCGGAGTAAGCTGGCAGGAGGAGGAGCCCAAATGGTCTGGGAGAGCTGAATGGAATTCTTCAAATAATTTTATTCATGGTGCTTCCAAGACCACTTCTGCTTTTCTCATTTGTTGACTCTGATTTGGAGACTCTTTGGGGGTTGCTCTGACCTCTGTATTAATTTTCTTTTTCAAATGCTTTGAGCTGTGTTTTTCTCCTTTCTTATTTCTTCATTTATCAAATCTACTTTTTATCTTTCAGACGTTTCCCAGATTTCTAGTTTACTGACAATATTCATTCTTCTTTTCTTTTTTAAACATCTTTATTGGAGTATAGTTGCTTTACAGCGGTGTGTTAGTTTCTGCTTTATAACAAAGTGAATCAGCTATACATATACGTATATATATCCCCATATCCCCTCCCTCTTGCATCTCCCTCCCACCCTCCCTATCCCACCCCTCTAGGTGGTCACAGAGCACTGAGCTGATCTCCCTGTGCTATGTGGCTGCTTCCCACTAGCCATCTATTTTACATTTGGTAGTATATATAAGTCCATGCCACTCTCTCACTTCGTCCCAGCTTACCCTTTCCCCTCCCCGTGTCCTCAAGTCCATTCTCTACGTCTGCGTCTTTATTCCTGTCCTGCCCCTAGGTTCTTCAAAGCCATTTTTTTTTTTAGATTCCATATATATATGTGTTAGCATATGGCATTTGTTTTTCTCTTTCTGACTTACTTCACTCTGTATGACAGACTCTAGGTCCATCCACCTCACTACAAATAACTCAATTTCGTTTCTTTTTATGGCTGAGTAATATTCCATTGTATATATGTGCCACATCTTCTTTATCCATTCCTCTGTCGATGGACACTTAGATTGCTTCCATGTCCTGGCTGTTGTAAATAGAGCTGCAATGAACATTGTGGTACATGACTCTTAAAGGGGGCACTGATTTTCAGTTTACCTTTATACTGAGAGAGTATCCTTTCTGGGGGCTCAGTTTTAAGAGATGGTCTCCCATTAGACTTCTTTCCCTGGCCTGTGTCTTTTCTAACCAAAGGCTTGAGAGACTGGAAACCAATGAGCAAGTCCTCTTGGTTTAGAAAATGCTCTTCATTTATTCCTTTTTTTCAGTCTTTGACCTGAACAATGACTGCTTTCTAATCACTCCTGGGTGCATTCAAAAATATTTAAATATTTTGTCTTTACGGAATATGTAGCTCTTTGCAACAGGGGAGGTTGATCCTGGCACCTACTCCACAGTGTTGCCAGAAGTGGGAGTTATCATATCATTTCATGGGTAGATCAAGAAATTGCTTTAACTTTTTCTCTTTTTGGAATTTCAAAAATTAATTTATGCCTGTTGTAGCAAGTGAAACTGTACAATACAAAGATTTATAAAGGCAGAGCTAATAATTTCTTCCTGATTTTAATTCCACCTCTATAGGGGTAACCAATGTTAACATTTGGTGTGCATACTTTCACACTTCCAATTTGCTCATATATATATGAATATATGTAGATGTGTAGGTGGTTTGTTTTTTAAAAAAAGGAATCATACTATATAGATTAATATGCAACTAGTTTTCTGAACAATTTATCTTGGACATTACTATAAATCAGTAAATATGGATCTAGCTCTGCCTACTTTTTCTAATTTATTTTTACATACAAAGGTAGTACAATTTTATATAGAAAGGCTTACTTTATTCATGCTGGTTTTAAAGTGTATTTTTATTTTTTTTCCCCCCATTTCATTCTTTTCCTCTCTTCTCCATTCTCACCCTCACTCCAACACATACACAATACCAGATACCAATCATTAACATCCTGGTTTGATTCCTTACGTTTCAAGGGATTTCTTGTATGCATTTCTCATAAAATGGTCATTAGTAGCAGACTGAAGAGGAATTTGGAATGTCTGCTCTGTCACTCTGGCTGTGTGATCTTGCAAAAATCACATAATATTTTCAGTCATAGTTTTTACCAGTATAAAATGGAAATACAGGCATACCTCATTTTATTACCTTCACATATACTGTGTTCTCCACAAATTGAAGGTTTGTGGCAACCCTGCATCGAGCAAGTCTGTTGGCACCATTTTTCCAACAGCATTTGCTCACTTTGTGTCACTATGTCACATTTTGGTAATTCTTACAATATTTTAAACTTTTTCATAATTATTATATTTGTCATGGTGATCATGGTGATCAGTGATCTTTGATGTTACTATTGCAAAATGATTATGACTCACTGAAGGCTCAATGATGCTTAACATTTTCTCACAATAAAGTATTTTTTAATTAAGTATGTACCTTATATATAATGCTATTGCACATATAATAGACTACTGTATAATGTTAATGTAACTTTTATATGCACTGAGGAACCAACAAAATTCATGTGGCTCGCTTTATTGTGATATTTGCTTTATTGCAGTGGTCTGGAACCAAATCTGCAATATCTCCGAGGTATGCCTGTAATAATTTTAATAATCCCTACCTCATTGCCATGAGGATTATGTGCATTAATATATAAAGTGTTTTAGTGTGTGAAACTTTCATGGCACATTTCTAGTCGCTGAAAATACAAAGGTGTGGTCTCTGCCCTAAGAAACTTTCAGCATAGTAGGGAGGCAGGCTCAGGAATGAGCCTTTTCCTGTAAGATGACAAGGGTTCCAGTGGTGGTATACATTGTGTCCTGTGGATCCACAGTACAGGCACCTGGTCACCTGGTTGGTGAGTGGAAAAGGTCTGATTTCTAGAGCTGACACTTGGGTTGGGTGTTATAGAATGAGTTGGAGTTGGCATTGGTGCTCTATGAATGTTATTATTCTCAGTATTAATACCTTTGTTTCTTTGCCTTTTTTTGTTGTTATTTAATCCACCTGTTTCTTTTCCCTTTAGGAGAGCTGATTTACCAAGTTCAGTCACCCGATGAAGGGGCTCTAGTGACTGCTGCAAAAAATTTGGGGTTCATTTTTAAGTCTCGGACCCCAGAGACAATAACAATAGAAGAATTGGGAACACTAGTTACTTATCAATTGCTTGCCTTTTTGGATTTCAACAATTTCAGAAAAAGGATGTCTGTCATAGGTACGGTTGGTGGCTGAGAGTGTTTTTGATCTCTTGATAGTACTACGGTTATATGGAAACTTCTCAGGGGTGATTTTACTCTTGGTTATGTGCTGAGAGTTGTGATATTTATTAACCTTTGAACTTCTGTTATCCTCAACTTAGCCTCAACTCAGTAGTGGTGAGTATAACTAACACGTAACAAGTGCTTATTGCGTGTCCAGTACTGGTCTAAATGCTATACGTGAATGAACTGATTTAATCATCACAACAGCCCTACAAAGTAGGTACTATTATTTTTATGCCCATTTTAAAGATAACAGAACTGAAACAGAGAGGTTGAGTAACTTTCCCAAGGTCACATAGCTTGAGATAGAATAGCTAGGATTTAAACCTAGGAGGTCTGACTATGAAGGAAGGTCATTCACTACACAGCACTGGCTCAGGATGAGTTCCTGAATTACTTGGCACATGCCAGTTATTGTTGATATTGTTGTTTTGTGAAAGTCGTCATCAGTCTTCTCATTATTATCCGTTTACTCTGTTCACTTGCATTGCTGGAGATGATCACCCATTATTGAATTTAGCACCACAATGGATCCATGCTTTCCTAAGTCAGTGCTAACCCTCAGTGCTGCATCAATGTCCCTCTCATTCTTATTTTGCTTTTTCCATCCTTATAACAGGTGTTCTAAATCTTTGCCCTTTCCTCAAGTCCTCAACCTTACCATGAATCTTCTTTACTCTTGGAAGCTAAATTCATCTGCTATTTCTCTAAAAAAAGGAGGCCCTCAGAGATGCACACTATCACCTTACCCTTTTCCCCATCTTCCTCCTTTATCCCCAAGCTATAACTTTACTCAGTCTTTTTCCTGATTCAGAGAAAAATTCCTCTTGCTCTTTTTCAATGCTAAAGATTCTACCTGTTCCCATCCCTTTTCCTTCCCTGCTTGCTCCTTATTCTTCGTCACTGGCTCCTTCCTTCAGCCTGCAACTCTGTCATCATCCTGTTTTCTTAAAGATATTGTTCATGTTCTGACCTCCACTGATTTTGGCACCTCATTTTTCTTCTTTCCATCACAACTTAATTTTTCAAGGTCAGTTTTTGATCCTTACCTTGATTTCTCTTTTCAGCCTATTAGGGTCAGTCCTCTGCTTCCACTGTTCAAAAAGAAATGCCTTCTCAGAAGTTTGCAATCACCTCATAACTGCCCAAAGCAATAGCCCTCCCTCTCTCTTTCTTTCTTTCTCTCTCTCTTTCTTTTTCTTTCTTTCTTTCCTTTTTCTTTCTCTCTCCCTTTCTTTTCTTTTCTTTCTTTTTGTCCTTCCTTCCTTTCTTTCTTTCTTCTTTATTTCTTTCTGTCTTTATGTCTCTGCCTCCCTCTCTCTCTTTCTTTCTCTCCCTCCCTCTCTCCCTTCCTTTTTCTTTTTCTTTCTTTCTCTCTCTCTCATCTCTCTTTCTTCCTTCCTTCCTTTTTCTTTCTTTCTTTCTTTCTTTCTTTCTCTCTCTCTCTCGTCTCTCTTTCTTCCTTCCTTCTTCTTTCTTTCTTTTTTTCTCTATCTCTCCCCCTTCCTTTTTTTCTATCTATCTATCTAACATCTATCTTCTACTATCATCTCTCTATCTTTTTTTTTTTTTTTTTTTTTTGCGGTACGCAGGCCTCTCACTGCTGTGGCCTCTCCTGTTGTGGAGCACAGGCTCCGGACACGCAGGCTCAGTGGCCATGGCTCATGGGCCCAGCTGCTCCGCAGCGTGTGGGATCTTCCCGGACTGGGGTATGAACCTGTGTCCCCTGCATCGGCAGGCGGACTCTCAACCACTGCGCCACCAGGGAAGCCTTGCGCCACCAGGGAAGCCCTATCTTTTTAAACTTGGTGATATTTGGGACTGTTGACCTACTTCTCTTGACACTCCTCTTTTGGCCTCTGGGAGCTCGCTGGCTCCTGGTTCTCCTCTTCTCCTGTGTTTTTGTTCTCAAGCTCCTTTTCAAGCTGACTATTCTTTGTCCCACTCTTCAGTGTTGGTGTCCTTTTCTCTTCTCACTCCCTGTGCTCTCCTTGGATAATCTTGACCACTCACATGGTGGTAGCTATTGCCTATATTCTGTGTCCTTCCCATATTGTTCTTCAGTTTCAATCTCTCTCTGAGGTCCCCACACACTCTTTCAGCCTTCTCCTGGATTCTGCCACTGGGTTGTACTACAGTTACCTCAAATTTTGTATGTCTAATATAGAACTTTCTTTCTCACAACTATTGCTGTTTATGTAGTTCTTATTAAAATTGTTAACTACCTTTTGCCATATGCCCGTGTGAGTGCACTGAACACTTTACAATGAATTATTTTATTAAATTCTTGTGATAGTGTATTACCCCCAATCGGGAGATGAGGCAATTAAGGCTCAAAGATTTGAAGTATCCTGCCCGAGATTGTCACACAACTTGTTACAAGTCCAGTAAGATGCAGAGGAAATATCTGAACCCAGGTTTTAAATATTTGAACATCTTTCTCCAACATCTAGCCTCTTAATCCCTATTGTAGCTCACTTGCTTTTGATACTTCCTTCTCCTTTGTGCCCCTAGGCTAGTGATTCTGAAACTTCAGCTCCCATCAGAACCACCAGGATGGCTTGTTAAAATGCAGATTGCTGGGCCTGGGCCCTAGAGTTTCTGATTCAGTAGGCCGGGGGTGAGGCCTAAAAGTTTGCATGTCTAACAGGCTCCCAGGTATTGCTGATGCAGATGCTGCTGGGCAGAGAACCGGTCTGGGGACCATTGCCCTGGACTAGGAGATCCTCAAATACTACTCATTATTTTCCCCTGAGATACCCTGCTACTCTCTTCATTCAGGCTTCAGCATCTCTTGCCTTGTCTATAGGATCCTCAGTAGTCATCCTGTTTCTAAGTCTCTCCTCCTCAAGGCAACAGAGTAATCTTTCTAAAAATAGCCTCAAAAACCCGTTTTTATCATAAAAGCCTACTGTCCTTTTCACTTAATTCCCAGTGCCACTGCTTTAGTTAAGCCTCTCATCACTGCTTGCTTACATTATTGCAATATCTTTAAACCTGTTTCCCCTTAAAAGAATCCTCTATGCTGACACCAGGGTATTCTTTTTAAAACATTGGCCTGATTTTGCCATCACCAGCTTAAAAAATCTTGCTGGTTTCCTAGAACTTAAAGGATGTCCTCAGCATGACATTCAAGATTGTTTGCAATCTGACCTCAAGCTGCTTTTCTTCCACTTCCTGAAACTATGTGCTCCAGCCTCACTAGACCTCACCATTCCTGGCATGCCTTGTGCACTTTCACACCATTTGCGTGTACGCCTAGACCTCTCCTTTTCTCCTCTCCTCTTCTTGGAAAACTCATACTCATGTAACTTATGAATATCCTGATCATCATATTAAATCAATTTTTACTCTGAAAACCATGTGTGTGTATGTAATAGCAGGGCTTTTGGTCTCTAACTACTAGAAACTAGCTCTGGGAGATTGCTCTCAGCAGGAACCAAACATCACCTGAGGATGTTTATTTTTATTTTTTTGACAACAGGCTGTAGGCGGTCACTATCAGCGTTACTGATGAGCACACATGCTGCTCTGGGTGTTGGCTTAATGTTGTATCAGCAGGAACTATCTTCTATTTACAGCTTCAGGGGAAGTGTTATTGATGTGGGGTTGGCCCAGAACTGGTTTCTCTTTGCTCTGAGGGTGTTGACGAAACCTAAGATTGCTACACAGGGAAACTTTCAGCTTTTCCCCAGTGTTGGTCACCATTACAGGCTATGGGGAAATCACAGCCTAACCACAAATATCGGATGTTTGCCTTAATGGATCCCATATGAAGAAAGGTAATGTTCCACCACAGAATGCATGGAGGCTTCGGGCTTTATTTCATTTCTGTTTGTTTTTTAATCAGGAGGAATTTGAAAGAGAGACTCCACGAGGGTAGACAAGTCTCTGTTTGATAACAAGGTGAAAAACAATGTTAGCCTCATGATTGTCACGGGGCTTGGTTGGGCAACATCCCAACCTGAAGGCTCAGACATTTGTTGCTGCTGCAGCTCTTTCTCCTCCTCCCCCTCTTGGTCTTCTCCTCCTCCTTCGAGGTTTCCTTTTTTTGACAGTCATTCATTGAATCATGAATGTGTAGTTTAAGTACCAGTGGTATTTTCATTCTGGGGCAACAACCCTGATTTAATCCAGAGGTATCTAAATAAAAATAGATTCCTATAAAGAATTTTGTCAGAAGGTATAGAATATACTCTATTGATAAGCATGTAAATCTCAGTATGTAGTTTTGGAAGGATTGATACTACTAATTATGTAAATAAAAATACAGAGATAAAATTCAAAGACAGTTATTAATAGGGGCAAGTGGCAGATAACTATTAAAGAATAGATTACAATAGCTCCTTGTAAAGCCCTTACAAGATCTTTAGATAAAGGTTTCTTAACTCTAAACCGTTGAAGGATTATCAAAGTACAAATCACACTGACATGTGACAGGCATTTCTCTATGTGGATGTATGAACAGCCACCCAACTAAGATATAACAAAGTGGAATTATGCATCACCCTTCAGAGTGTTGCTATTATATATACCCTTACAGCATAAACCTGGAACCATTTCTGACTTTTTTCTTTCCTTTGTATCACAAAGGCATATCTGCTGCTTTCAACGAATTTTGCATAATTATAATTCAACTCAATCAAGCAAATATTTATTAAGTACCTACCGTGTTCCAGGAACTTGAAGCTAAAGGAGAATGTGAAATTGAAAAATGTATTTTGTGGTTGCATCCAGGAGAAAATGGTGAAGCAGGATAGGAAATAGGCTAAAAAGGGGCCTGATGATCCCTGTTTATGACATGTTTAAGAGTCCAAACTTGATCTAAGGGCAGAAGAAAGCTATTGCGGGATTCTAAGCAGTAGTGTGAAGATGACTCTGGCTGTATTGCCGAAGAGTTTGGAGGGAACGAGTAAAACCATTTAGGTTAATGTGATAATCTAGGCAAGAGAGAATGTGTCAGAGAGAAGTTCTTGGCTTCGATTGGATGTATGGGTGGTGAAGGGGGAGGACCTTTGAGTGATGGCCAGACACCTGATTTGGGAGGCTAAGTGAATGCTGAAGGTGATTATTATTTTTTTTTTAAGACTTCTTTTTTTTAATGTGGACTGTTTTTAAAGTCTTTATTGAAATTGTTTCAATGTTACTTCTGTTTTATGTTTTAGTTTTTTTTATGGCCATGAGGCATGTGGGATCTTAGCTCCCTGACCAGGGATCAAACTCGCACCCTCTGTATTGGAAGGTGGAGTCTTAACCACTGGACCACCAGGGAAGTCCTGAAGCTGGTTATTAGGACTGAAGACATAGGAGGAGTAACTAGTCATTGGTGATAGATAATGTGTCCAGTTTGAGTTTGATGTGCTTGGGCACATCTAAGAGGAGATGTCCAGTTGGTAGTTGGATGTACAGGCAGGGAGCACTGGAAATGGATTTAGGCAGGAGATACACATTTGAGAGCAATCATCCGGTCGATGAAAACTGAAGCCATAAAAAGAATGTGACTGCCCAATGAGAGTGTGAAGGATGGGAGGAAAAGTCAATCCTGGGTAAATCTCTGAAGAACACCAGTATTTAAAAGACAGGCAATGGAAGCAGATTCTATAACTAAAAATGTATGATCTTTGTCCAGGCTCTGCCCACATGTTATCTTGAACATTTAAAACTGCTATGTTATTTTTAATTTATTTTTAAAAGCTAACTTCTGAAATGACTGAGATTTTATTAGCCTAGAGATTTCCTAGCAGAAATGACTATAAGCCTTGAATGAAAAGGGATATAAAACTTGCTGAGCTGCCAAAGGAAATGTTTAGTGAGTAAAATTAAACAGGATTCCATGAAATTGGGTTTACATAAACTCAAAATTTAAAGGGGCTAATGCTGGGTTAAGAGAAGGCAGCAGATATGGAAAATCTTTATTAAATCAGAAAATTGTAGATCTAGAAAGACCTTAGAAGTTAGGTTGTTTAAACATCTCCTTTTCACAAGTAGAAACTGAGACAAAGAGATGGTGAGGGATTTGCACAAATCAAGATTGGTCTGTGATTTCCCTAGACCAGTGGTTCTCAATGAGTGGTCTGGCGAGCCCTAGGAAAACTTGATAGTTTTTCAGAGGCTGCACAAGGACAAAAATATTTTCATAATAATACTAATATTATTTGTCTTTCAATTTTTTTTCTCATGAATATATTGTGGAGGTTTACAAAAGCCACATGACATGTGATAATATAACAGATTGAATGCAAAAGCAGATATGAGAATCCAACTGTCTTCTATTAAGCCAGGCATTAAAGAGATCTGTAAGGGACTTACCTGGTGGTCCAGTGGTTAAGACTCCACACTTCTAAAGCAGGGGGTGTGGGTTCAATCCCTGGTCTGGGAACTAAGATCCCACATGCCATGTGGCATGGCCAAAAAATAAATAAATAAAATAAAGATATCTGTAACCATATGAAACAATGCCCCTTCCCAAACTAAGTGTTTTTGTTTTGGAAAATATAGTTATTTTTCATAGAATTGTTATATATGTAAATATATAATAGGTTTATTGTTACTATAATAATTACTCTTTTGGTAATATTATAATTAATGTCTTAAGACTATTGATACAATAAAATTTATCAGTTTGAATTTCTAATGAGGTAAATATTGATAGATAGAACCTATATGGAGTCCTCATGAAGTTTTAAGAGTGTAAAGGGGTTCTGAGACCGAAAAGTTTGAGAACCAATATCGTACCTTGGACTATAAGAAATAAACAGTCATAGAGAAGTCATACTGGCAAATGTGGGATATATACACTTTGCCTTTATAGCTCTGGTAATGGGAGGGAGAAAATATGGGGGAAATTATTAAATTGGATTGCTGTATAAGAAAAGAAAGAGACAGACTTTCCTAGGATTAAATGTTCTGGAAATTATAAAAGTTGACCACGGGTCTTAGAAGAGAACACAAGCCCTAGACAAATCCCAATAAAAAACATTTTCCAGGGTGCATTACATCTATTCAAGCTAGGAGGAAATTGGATTAGATTAAGTGTTGACTAAGGGTCATTAAAGATTAGAGGAAGTGAGAAAATCATAATTCAAAGAGTCATGTACCACAATATTCATTGCAACGCTATTTGCAATAGCCAGGACATGGAAGCAACCTAAGTGTCCATCGACAGATGAATGGATAAAGAAGATGTGGCACATATATACAATGGAATATTACTCAGCCATAAAAAAACCCAAAATTGAGTTATTTGTAGTGAGGTGGATGGACTTAAGAGTCTGTTATACAGAGTGAAGTAAGTCAGAAAGAGAAAAACAAATACCATATGCTAACACATATATATGGAATCTAAAAATTAAAAAATGGTTCTGAAGAACCTAGGGGCAGGACAGGAATAAAGACACAGATGTAGAGAATGAACTATGGACTTGAGGACACTGGGAGTGGGAAGGGTAAGCTGGGAAGAAGTGAGAGAGTGGCATGGACATATATACACTACCAAATGTAAAATAGCTAGCTAGTAGGAAGCAGCCGCATAGCACAGGGAGATCAGCTCGGTGCTTTGTGACCACCTAGAGGGGTGGGATAGGGAGGGTGGGAGGGAGACGCGAGAGGGAGGGGATATGGGGATATATGTATATGTATAGCTGATTCACTTTGTTATAAAGCAGAAACTAACACACCATTGTAAAGCAATTATACTCTAGTAAAGATGTTAAAAAAAAAAAGATTAGAGGAAGCAACCTAAGTGTCCCTCAACAAATGAATGGATAAAGAAGATGTGGTATATATCTTGTGGTATATACAATGGAATACTGCTCAGCCATAAAAAAGAATTAAATTTTGCCATTTGCAGCCACATGGATGCACTTAGAAGGTATTATGCTAAGTGAAGTAAGCCAGACAGAGAAAAACAAATACTATATGATATCACTCATATGTGGAATCTTAAAAATACAACAAACTAGTGAATATAACAAAAAAGCAGACTCACAGATATAGAGAATAAACTAGTGGTTACCAGTGGGGAGAGGAAAGGGGGGAGGGGAAATTTAAGGGTGGGGATTAAGAGACACAAACTATTATGTATAAAATAAGCTACAAGCATATATTGTACAGCACAGGGAATATAGCCAATATTGTATAATAACTATAAATGGAGTATATCCTTTAAAAATTGTGAATCACTATTTTGTACACCTGTAACACATAATGTTGTATGTCAACTATACTTCAATTAAAGAAAAGATTAGAGGGAAAAGTAATTTATTGTACTATGGTATTTATATTCTTTTAAATCAAGCTCTAAACTTTGTATCCTCTTAAACTAATAGTAGTCAATATTTATGTTCATCTGTTTTGAGGCATTCTATTTTTAGAGAAAAGGTATAATTGAGTGGAAAGCATGTAATAATCTTTGACTCAATGAAGCTTGTGAGGGTCAGTGTTCAGACCATGAAGTTGTGACACAGGCAGTTGTCCTAGATTGTATCAGCCCTTCAGAAATAGTAGGGGAGAAATACATTACTATGTTATTCATTCATTCAATAAATAATTAGGTGTCTGGTGTCTGCCAAGCTGTAAAACCAAGCCTGCAAAGGTAGGCTTAAGGAAAGATTAGCTTAAAGAAAGATTTGTCTGACAGCAATATGTGCAACAGCCAGGGGTGGGCACAAGGATTGGAGATGAGGGATTGAACCCTAGTCAAGGCTGTCATTCCCAAACCTGGGGGGCAGGTTAAAAACACAGCCCTACTAATACAGACTTCCTGTGGGAAGAAGATAGAAACTTTAATTTTGAAAGCCCCCTGTGAAGTGTGCTTGTAGCCAGGATTGTGACCCAAGAATGAAAGGGCTTTTCCAAGGAGTAAAGGGGGTGAAGAAATATGTCAGCAAGGACTGCGAACTAATGCATAAACCATGGCTTTGAATGGCTAGAGTTCCATATGGAGATCATTTGGCATGACACTGATAGCTGATTCCTACAGTCGGTCTTGAATTTCACATTAGGAGACAGGCAAAAAAAAGCTCTCAGTTCTGCTCAATAAAAAAGGCTTAATTTAAATGTATCAGCCCTCCAGAAATAGTAGTCAAGGAAAATAACAAGGTTGTACACATCAGAATGAAAACACTTTTTCCTGTAGATAGAATATTTCTAAGTTAATAAAACAGGAGTAAAGCCAAGTGACTTGGGTAATGACCTTTTAACCAAAGGCACTGAATACTTTACTAGTGGCTAAAACATGCCCATTTCCAACTTGCCTGGCTAGAGCCCAGGGACAGTCAAGTTTTGATGGATTTCACCGAATATAATCTACTTTCCCAACTTTTCTTTCAGTTCGAAACCCAGAAGGACAGATAAAGCTTTATTCCAAAGGAGCAGACACTATTCTGTTTGAAAGACTTCATCCATCCAACGAAGACCTCCTGACCTTGACGTCAGACCATCTCAGTGTAAGTGCCTCTGTCATAAGGTTAGCACAGTGGCCCTTTGGCTGCTTCCTATGGTTAGGTCTTATTTTTAAAATATCAGTTAAATGATCTGACTTCTAAAATAGAAAGCATGTGAAGAACGGTTCCACAGGAAACTGTGCCAGTGAATGTTTAGAAGCTGGCACGTGGACTTACCCCCTACCCTGCTGAGAGTCTGGTCGGTCTCACCGCAGGTGGATTAAAACACAGCAGCTGAGAAGTAGCCACTGAGTGTGGGCTCCTGAACTCTGGCCAGAAGACTCAAGACCCCAAGGGTAACCTGCTCTAACTTCCCTACAGCTGGGGACTGTTTCACCTGGGTGACTGGACTGCTTTAGGGAAGAGGAACAGGAGGGTTGCTTTCCCTTGGGTTCTGATGCGTCTGGTAATAATGGAATCTCTTATGGTTACCTCCAGGGAATAGTTCAGGGTCGTGTTTACATGGTGAGGGGGAAATAATCTCTGTAGCCAACTTTCTCCTCTAAGGGTTCTTTTATTCAGGTCATAAATCATGATGAGTCACTAGTGTTCCCTAGGTTGAAGTTACCAAATGCATATATCCTAAGACTATGCATAGTTTCTTTCCAAAATCTTTGTAAAGGGAGCAGGGATGGTTTTTTTTTTTTTTTTTTTTTTTTTTTTGCAAAAGAGTAAGGGTCTATGAATTAATATGAACATTATCTGATTTAAACCTGAGATTCAAGGCTCTCTCTATCTGTTTGAGTTTCTGTTTAACCCAATATGAAATGTAAGGGCAATTGCTCAAAGCTCTTATTTCCTCCTTGGTTTCTCTCCTTTAAAAAACTATTGAGGAGTGGGATAGGGAGGGTGGGAGGGAGATGCAGAGGGAGGGGATATGGGGATATATGCATACGTATAGCTGATTCACTTTGTTATACAGCAGAAGCTAACACAACTTTGTAAAGCAATTATACTCCAATAAAGATGTTAAAAAAAGATAAAAATTTTTTTAAACTTCCAAAAAAAGAAAGAAAACAACTATTGAGGATTCATTTTCTTTGCCAAGCCGTATATTTAATATAAAACATTCCCTGAACCTTTAAACAAACAAACAAACAAATAAAAAAACTCTGGCTGACTTTAAGTTTAAAGAATGATGGTTTGGTAATATTGGTTACAAACATAGCTATTGTTTTTGTCTTTCCAATAGAGCATTCTTGATTTTCTTTTAATCTTTTCCAGAAGGCTAGCATGGTCTTTTTAAATTTTTTTTTTTTTTATGGAAACAACATTGGAATCATAAGTATTTGATTTTGCCATTGCTCAAACACCAAGGCCCTGGATTTTCATGCTAAAGTATGGAAGCCAAATTTGATCTTTTTATATTTCTAGGCAAAAGATTTATTTTCCAGGTAGTATCAATTTGACTTGCTTTCACTTCATTCACTTTATTCATTTTGACTTCTAAATTCTGCAGTTTTAAATTTATATTTAATTATTGATTTTTGAATTGTTTAATGATAGGAAACGACCTTGTTCAAATGTTCATTTAGAATTCAACTTGTGTTTCATGCACTAATTAAATAACTTAAATCATCTGTCCCCTTTTGTAGTGTCATGTTAGAGTTGATTCACTGCTGTGCAGAACAGAGAAAGGCACTGTAATGCCCAGTGGGGTTGCAAGGGAGACACAAGAGGGAGGAGATATAGGGATATATGTATACATATAGCTGATTCACTTTGTTATACAGCAGAAACTAACACACCATTGTAAAGCAATTATACTCCAATAAAGATGTTAAAAAAAAAGTTAAAGTCAAAGAAGTGTTTGTGCAAATTAAAAGGACAAAAGATCCTTATAAAAGGCAGTAACTAGATTTTCAGATCAGTAGGGGACCCAGTGGTGGTCTTGGAAGAGGGCTTGTACAATGTGATTGCAATATCCAAAGTGCTACCAACTGCCTACGAGATAAATTTGGATAATTTTTCTCATGGTCTCTCTGGGCTAAACCACATCACTGCAGTATGCACTGACTTTTCTTTCCATTTACCTAATTAGGGTGTATCATGGTTTAATATATGCTTGATTGCAAACCTGTGTCTGTCTCATAAGCCACAACACAACAGAGAAGACATGCTCTGTGGCAATGCCCAAAGGAGCAGAAATGGTTATGAAAACGCTTACAGTGTGGAAGCCCATAAAATGACCACCGGAGGCCTAGGCAAAGTGGGAGGTTTTTAGCATTTCCCCAAGCATTCAACATATGTTTCTAGCTATTGCAGCTGTGTGAAACACTTAGCAACTACCAGCCTCCTATTTTTATTTATTTATTTTCATGTTAGAAGCATAAAGCACTAGAGGTATAATTTAAGATTGTTGGCTTCCTGAGACACTAAATGAAGAGTATGATCCTCTGATAAATTTGACCTATTATTAAATACTAACTCCATAGAAAATAGTTTCTAGAAAAATAATGATTTTTTAAAAAAACTAACTGGACTTGACTGTCTCTTTAAAGTTTCAAACAGTTTTATTATAAAAGTATGCTTTAATATAGCAAAAAAAGATTTACAGAAGTTCTAGGATGAAAAGTAAAAGTCAGCCTCCATTTCTAGTACTACTTCCCAGAAGCAAACATTTATATTAAACTTTTCTGCCTTTCTCTCTCACTTTTCCCCTAGAGTTATTATTATAACTTTAATTTATATCCTTAAATTTCTATCACCTGACATCTATTTATTCATCTATTATTGAATAAATGTATTTTATTATGGAAAATTTCAAACATAAACACAAGTAGGACAGAGTTAATTTTAGACGTGGCTGTATTATTAGGAGGAAGGTGAGAAGATTTTGGTGAGATGTCATGCTGCAGCCCCTTGAGAGAGCCTCCTACCTTTGGTTTGAGAGCTATAGCTCCTCTGAGGGTCCTTTGTTCTCCCCTAAAAGCTGAGGGCCATAGGCCTTGAAACAGGCTGGGTCCCTCACATTGCCAGCAGTGCTTCCTTCAGGCAGGGGATAGGTTAGAAACGAATATGTTGCTTCAAATGCTTATCTCAAGTCATGGGCACCATTGATCACCTCTCAACTAGGACCCTTCAGAGGGCATTTCAGCAGTCTTAAGGGGGAATGCTAGGTCCCTTGAATGTTTCAACCCAAAAAAACACAAAATAAAAATATCAACTCCCCTTTCCAAGGGGATTAGAAAGTTGGAGGTCAGGATGACTAAGTAGTGCTCTTGAGATAAAATGAATTTGAGTGCAAAACTTCTTACCTATTATTGTCGTTGCTGTTTTATTGCTGTGATTATTGTTTTGGGATGGTTCCTAAGTCTCCGTCTGCCCTGGCAGGAATTTGCAGGAGAAGGCCTTCGAACCTTGGCCATCGCATACAGAGATCTGGATGACAAGTACTTCAAAGAGTGGCACAAGATGCTTGAAGATGCAAACGCTGCCGTAGATAAGAGGGATGAACGGATAGAAGGGCTGTATGAAGAAATCGAAAGGGATTTGATGGTATGAGTTTAGAAGCATGATGGTTTGTGTTTACAGAAGGGATAATATGTGTTTAGAGATCTAGCATGGGAATAATCCATTGGCTAAATCATCTTGCACACAGCAGATGTTACTCTTTCAAACAATGAATCATGCTTTATATGTTGACTTTGAGCTTGCCATATGTGGCCAGAGGATTATTTCTATTAACAGTAGCTTATGCAATTGGAAGTCCCCCAAGAGTAGAAGGTAGTAGACTCCCTATTCTTTGTCAGCCTCTGGTATGTCATGTTTTGTTTGATGTTATGTGTGTTGTTTTTTTTTTTCCTCCATGCTTTATAACCCACCTTTTTAGAGCAGGGAAACTTGCCATGAAGCGTGGGGCTGTAGCTGTAAACATTCTAGACCCATGAGATTCTGATGATATCTGTACTGTCCAGAGTGTGATATATTCTAGAAACCACTCTTCCCTGAGGCCCTAGTGGCCAGGATGCTTAGCTACTGTGAGGCATTAGGGAGCACACCTTGCTCATCTTTGGATGACATGTTGCACAAGAACCTTCACTTTTTAGTTTATGGCATCTGATGGTTTGTTAATTTAAGAGAATGGCTCTAGGTTTTTTGTGATCCTGACTCTGAGATGAGGGCTCTCCTTTATACCCTTCCATGTTAATATAACTGGGGGATTCTTAAGTCCTTAGAAGTCCATATTATCATATTATCCTAATATGTTATCTGAGCATATCAGATCCCTCATGTAAATTCTAACTCCCAGGATCTCTGCACTAATTGGAATGCCCATCAGTTGCCTTGATTAGGGAACATCCTTCTAGGGTCCTTCCCAGCCCACCTCTGTACATAATAGGATGCTTGTTGTATCAGTGCATCATACGCTCCATCTTCAATTCATGTCCCTTGACCTCTAAACTCTGTGATTGAAAGCTGTGGATGTTATGGGTATTTTTTGCATGCATTAACGTGAGGTATTCTTTTTTAATGAAGCTACTAGGTGCAACTGCTGTAGAAGATAAGTTACAAGAGGGTGTTATTGAAACGGTTACAAGCTTATCACTAGCCAATATTAAGATCTGGGTCCTAACAGGAGACAAACAAGGTAATTTGAAAATAGATGATGATGTTTTGACAAGGGGGCAATAATTTCTGTGGTAAAATTTTAATTAACCAGAAAGCTTAACTAAGGAGACATTTGCCCGGTCCTCCGCAGAGGAAAGAGTTGAAATACAAAAAGGAAAACTCATATATTGCAAGAATTTACTATCAAACTAACAAAATATCTTCTATAGTATACCCTGCGGCCAGTTGAGTTTCAGCTCAATTGCCTCTTAAAAATAATAGTTATACCCGTAGGCAACAATGGTATTAAAAATGTTGAACTATTGGTTTGTATGTGCACTGCTCCTGGTTAGGAGAGGGAGTGGCACAGCTCTGAAGCAGGACATTGGAGACCTCAGCATTACTTCTTTAGTTTCTTCATGGTAGGAAGGTTTGGGAATCTTAGAGGAGGGGTAGGCTTTGGAGAGGCTCAAGGAAGCAGCTGTTTATCAGCTGGTATGGAAATATTTTGGTATTTTAACAACTACCACAGCTGTACCAGTGCAACCTGGCTGAATTCCAGGACTGCCCGTGCAGTTGTACAAGGAGAGCTGACCCACTTTCAGGCATGACAATATGCCAAGTCATCAGAGAAAGAGTCATTATGTTCAGAATACTGTGTTTCCTAAGAAAGAAAAGGGGATCAATACATTTTGGATCTATTGCTAGCAGTGGTTAAAACAAAAATGATTTTCTGCTGGGCCATCAGTGGACCGGAAATATTCAGTTAAGTGGCACACACGTTTTTAAGATTCTATCTAACTTTTTTAGAACATTGGAGTATTTGCAGATATGATAAATCAGTTCTCTATATGTTTACTCAAATCACTGATTACAAAAAATAAACCATAGAGAGTCGAGCTCTGTGTTGTGTTGTTAGACTTCCTAGAGTTTGATGTTGCTCAGTGGGTACAGCTGTTCAATTAGTTATGAATATCCACAAGTTTACTGTTTAGCTTTCATTTCTGTGGTTTCTACAAAGGACACTGTGAGGTTTTATCAATTGTCTTCCTTGACTTAGGACAAACCTAATGATTCTATAGAATTCGCTGGAGTCTAACGACTCAGTAAAATTAGAACCAGATGATTATATTGCAGATGAAAGGGGGTACTTAACTATCCTAGGCTCCATTTCTACAAAATTAGAGGAAGGTCTAGTCCGTATCATGTAATACTCTAGTTATCTAGTAGCAGCAGTCCTGGTTTTTTTTGAGGTGATAGCCAAATTCCAAATTTCTATTCACTTAATGGAAACATGGCGATGTTGCATGTGGAAGAACTAAAAAATTTTGTAAGATCATTTTTGCTGTTCAACTGAACATTTTGTGAGATTTTTTTTTTCTATTTGTCTATTATGTCAGATTGAATAATAGCTAAGTTTAGTATTTCAGCTCTCTAAAGGCAGTATTTGAGACTTCTGGTAAAATTTTTTAAATGTATACATTTTACTAATCACAAGATCTTGGGATATTTTCATGAGTACTCATTTTGGGAATCAAAAAGTTTTTTTAAAAAACTAGATGAGAATGCTGAGGATTCACAGATGTTGCTATTTCTCCATGGATTTAACAAATCTTTGAATTTCTCCCTGGGCTTCTTGTATTTCGTCACCGATCATGCTCTCTTTGAAGTTAAGGAGGCCTGTAGGCTATAAGGAAATAGAGCAAGGGCCTCAAAACTTTTATGAAAAGGTACTTATGTTATTAAGTAATGTTCTAACTGAAGTCGGCTTTATTATGTATCAGAAACTGCCATCAATATTGGCTATGCCTGCAACATGCTGACTGATGACATGAATGATGTGTTCATCATAGCAGGGAACACAGCTGTGGAGGTCAGAGAAGAACTCAGGTAAGTGCTAGAGGAAGGAGGAAAGGAACAGAGGGAGGGGGAGGGGAAAGGAAAATCTGATAGTTGAGAAAGAGGAAAATCCCCTTTGAAGAAGAACATTTTAAAAGTCTGCCTAATTATTTCCCCAAAACTTCAAAAAGTGCTGTCTTATAACAATTTTTGCTTGCTGGCGCTGGTAGGAGCTTCTCTAAACTCAGCCCACTCTGGGTCTGGCCAAATGGCTTAGAGGCCAACTGCTTTGCCGCTTTTGCTACAGTCTCTAGAGGCTAACACAGCCATCTCAGCACAGCAGTGGGGCACGATGGGCTTCCTTCACATGCCTCCATCGTTTAACTTTTGTTCCTGAACTTTGAAAAGAAAGGAAGCCTTAACTGTCAGCACCCCACTTGATACCTTACAGATGAAATCTCCCAACTGTTTTACATTGCCTTACTCACTATAGAAAATGGCTGTATCATGCTGGTTAGAAGCTATGACTTGAGACTGCATATGAGTTGGGAAATCTCATGATTACTGACATAATTTTATTATTATTATTTCTATAAGTTTAACAAGAGAGTCCATAGGGTCTATTGGGAAAATATTAACAATTTATTTAATAATTAATAGTAATTAAAATTTTTACCTCAAGAAAATCTTTTTCTTTAAATGACTTTTTGTTTTGGGGGGAATTTAACTCTTGCTGAAGGAGGATAGATGTAAACAGATCAAGATTCTAACGAGCCTATTGCTAAGTGCTTTGAGATAGTGCCTGGGACCCTATGGTAAGCAGTAGACATGTATTCTCTTGTTTCATTCTCAAAGCAACCCAGTGGAAGGTGTTATCATTATCCTTGTTTTACAGATTAGGAAGTTGAGACACACATAGGGTAAGTAATGTGCCCAAAGTTTCACAGCCAGTCAGTGGTTCAGCTGGGGTTGAATCTAGGCAGCGTGGCCCCAGAGCCTGTGCACCCACTCACTTGTCACGTGTCTCTCTAAACACACCTTGGGTGTATTCTTACTCTCTTTAAATAGCTAATATAAAAAGTGCAGTCGTTGAGGCACATGGCTGCTTCACTTGAGGTCAGACACCAGGTTAGCAACTAGAGCAGAATGGATTTCAGGGAGAGAGAGCAGGTGTAAGAGGAAGAGTACAGGCTCTGTGTTAACTGGAGCCAAGTTGGAATCTTGTCTTCGTGCTCCTGGCTGGCTAAGTGACTTTTGAGATGCTATTCAACCTCTCTTTGTTTGGTTTCCTCATTTGTAAAATGGGAAAACATACAAATACCTACCTTATAAATTATTTTATTTGGGGGATTAATGTAAGAACATAAAGCTTTATGGCCATTCAATGAGCACCCTTCTTGCCTTCCCTCCTCTCTTTCCACTCCCTCCCTTCCTCTCGCCCTCTTTCTTCAGCCATTGTTCTCAATCTTTCCACCAAAAAGGACTAATTTTTAAAAATATTTCCCCAATAGACCCTATGGAGTCTATTATTAAAATTATATAAATAATAATAATAAAATTATATCACTCACAGTTAATTAGATTTCCTAATTTTTATTTGGCAAAGACACACATACTCTTCAGTCACAGCTTCTAACCAGTGTGATATAGCAGTTTTTTACACCAGGTTGATGTAAGGTAGCTGAAAGGAAAATAAAACTTTAAAGACTTAGGGAGTCTCTACGTTCTTATCATAGAAAATTCTACACTTTTCATTAACCTTCTTAAGATACTGAAAACAACATGCTGACTCCCATTGCAAATTTTATGGATCCTCTTCCTCTGTTGATTACATTGAATAACAATATTGCAGGTTGATGGAACAGCACACACAAAGGCATACAGACGTGAAAGATATGTTATATTCCAGGAGCAACCTGTCAAGTTGTAGCTGGAGTGTACTACAGAGTTATGGGCGGGGATAATTTTTCAGAGATGAAGTGGTGATAGATTGAGTGATAAGCCAAAGTGAATATACTTTATCCTGAAGGTACTGGATGGATGGAGAGGACTTCTAAGCAGAAAAGAGACAAATCCAATTTTGCACTTTAGAAATAACACTGTAGTGGCAGGATAGATGGAGTATGTTTGACAGAAAATGAATGGGATGGGGAGATGGATGAGGAAGCTGTTGGAATACAATACTCAAGTTTAGGGATGATGAGGGTTGACCTAAGGCAGCGAGGTGGTAAGAACAGGCAAGGAAAAAGTGGAATGAAATTGATAGCTGTTTCGGAGGTAGAATGGATAGGACTTGGAATTCGACTTGATGTGAAGAGATGTAGAAGGAGGCTCTGTCATTTCTGGCTTGTCTGACTTCACAGCCTGGAATACACTGAGCTGTGCAAGAAGAGAAACTCATTAAATTTTCTAAAACTGAACTTGAATCCCTTTTCTGCCTGGTGACAGAACAATTAAGTTAGGCACTTTGGGTAAATTTAGTTCACGTCTAGGATGTGCAATTGCCTTACCTGTCACTGATCCTCAGTGTCTATCCTGTGGCCTCTGGCACTTCCCATTTCTGTGTCCCTGTCTGGTCTCTGGTCTCTGGGTTGCTGACTGTCCCTGTTGGCTGACTTCCGCATCCTTCTGAGGAAACACGGAAGTTTAGGGGCTCTTCCTTACCTCTCTGCGTCTGAGACGTGCTCTCACATGGTTACCTCTCTTCCTGAAATCCCTTTCTTCTACGACCCTCCATGTCACCATGCTTCAGTGGCAACGCGTCCATACTCAGATTCCCGAAAACTTATCTGAGAATTCCATTATCCACTCCCAGTCCAGGGTGTGGGTCAGCACCCAGGCTTCTTTTAGTGATTCACGAGCATCTAACCTCCTCTTCAAAGTCCCTCTCCTCTAGGCTGGATGGGAAATGGAGAAAAGGAGTCATTTTTTTCTAGTCTGTTGCTTAGGGCAACAGTTTGTGCCCTGATTCCTTTAAGGATTAGTTTTTTGACACTTGAAGAAACTTTTCTCTTCCCTCTCAAAAAGCCCAATTAGTGGAATTCCAGATTGCTGGAATTCAGGATGACAATGCTGCTGTGAGTTTCAGGAGTCCATTTTGGTACTCAGAAAACAAAATCTTGACTCTTTTGTTTTCTCTGTATTTGGCCCTGTCAGATCCCCCGAGGCAAGGTGTGTTTCTGAGTAAACAGAGAGGGTCACCCGTGGTGGCCCTGGTAATTGCAAGGGGTGGGGAACCGAAGTTAATTTCTCAAGATTTTATCCAGCCACATGTGGTTGACTAAGTAGGTGACATAACTTTCATTACATGGAAGGAATGTGGAGAAATATGAATTCCTATATACTGTTGTTGGGAGTGTAAGTTGGTAGAAACTTTCTAGACGGTGAACTAGCAATATATTTCAAAATTATATATGTGCACAGTTTTGACCCAAAGATTCTTACTTCTAGGAATTGTCCTTAAGAAAAATAAATGGACAAATGTATGTGTGTGTGTACGTGTGTGTGTTTGTATACATACATACATATTGTGGCATCAATTATGATAATAGAAAATTAGAAATTGCTCAAATACCCAGCCACAGGGATTTTGTTAAGTACTATGATATATAGGTGGAGTGAGATACTATCCAGTCTTAAAAGTGATTATGTGTTTTTTGACATTGGAAGATGTCCACGATATATTTAAGTGAAAAATGAGTTTATGAAATTTCATGCATAACATGATCCATTTTTTCAAAAAAGTATATATGTATGTATGTATGTATACATATAAAACACTATACATCTATATCCATATCTATCTACCTACCTCCACATCAAGTTCTCAAGATCATACACATACAGTTGTTCTCTCTTGGTGATACAATTATGGATCATGTTTGCTTTCTTCTTTATGGCTCTTTGTGTTATCTGAAGTTGTAATAGTGTCCATATAATACTTTTACAATTAGGAAAAAAGCCAAAAGATTATCTCCATTTTTTTTAGTGAGGAGGGAAAAAAGTAAAGATTTTCCATCTAGACTAATTATTTCAGGACTCTTGAGGCCACCTGGCCACCTTGTTTAACTTGCTGGCAAATAATGTTTATTTCAATTCAGATTTGGAGATTACCCCATTCTGAGACTCTACAACAGAGAAGCAATGAATGATAGAAAATTCTCTATGAGAAGAATCAATACATTTATAGTATACAGTTGCTTTATGTTATGGGGAAAAAAGAGCATCCAAGAAAAGTTATTACTGGAGGTGCTGCTCTCTATAATCCTAATCCTGGCTACTTATATCTAAACCCATGGTTTTGGGGATGAAATATTGAAATCATAAATTTACACCACTCAATTTTCTTGTGTTACACCTTTGAGTTCAGTGGGTTTGAGTTTTGCTTTTTCACGCAAAAACATTAAAAAGAAGTATCAGAAGAAGAGGATCTAAGTGATAGTAACTATTGGGAGGAAGTGACCTAAACGCTCATATTTAAACCTGTCAAATATGTCCCAATTATTTCATAAACATTGATACGTAATTTTCATGCATATCATGCATGCATACAGCTTGTTTCAAATTTAATGTCATGAAAATGTTTTAGACACATTGAGTCCTAGGTTAACTTTGCTGCCATAGCTGCTTTAGTATTCAGGGCATGCCCAGAAATCTACAATTAAACCCTGTTATGCTTTCTCCAAAGATTACTGCATTAATTACATTTCTTCAATACATATGTCTTCTGCCCAAAGAAAAGCAGACTGAGGATGTAATTTTGCTTGGGCTGACAAGCAAACCCATTACATGTTTCATTTTTGTTGCATTGAGCACACGTTTTATTGTTAGGAAAAGTAATTAGACCATGAAGTGACTCTACTGCTTCTGAGTAGTATCCTAGTGATATACCTAGGAACTGACATTTCCTCTTTAATCAACAAAATACATATTGCATTTTTTGCACACCTACTTGATGGAAAGTTATTGTTTGAATGAGCAGGGTTCATAAATGCTAATGGCTCCAGGGCCAGGCAGGAAATATTAGTTGTGTGATCTGGGCTGTACAAGGCATCATGGAATGTTTGGGGCTTTGGTGAAGGCGAACAACACGTTGTCCATAAATTCATACGGATTCTTTTTAGACATTATGCAGGCCAAACAAAATGCACCTTGTTCCTAATTCTCAATTTCTAGTCACCCCGGCAAAATGTTTTAGTAAGTTTAGTTTCTATCATAAATTGTAAAATTTTAGAGTACTCAGTAATATTGGAGACCTTCCAGTACAGCCTGGTACAGCTGCCTGAGTTTTCATAATGGTATCAACCAGTGTGATTCACTGGTATCATTCCCCTAGATTCTAATAAAGATACCGCTTCAGGGGTTGAGTATCTTATAGGTCACACAGTTAATAAGGGATGAAACTTGGGCTTGACATCAAAATTTCATGTACTTTCTCCCTTTCTCTACTGTTGGCAGGGTTCTCTTTTACCCTAACTGGCGCTCTAGCGCTATGCCTTTTTCCCAACCTAGAGGCAGCCTGTGGCTAACTATGTGTAAACCTTTTGGTGCAGTAGACAGGGCACTAGGAATTTGAAGACCTGGGTTCTCGCCTGGGTCTGTAACTGACTAATCAAGTGGCTAGAGGTCAGATAGCTCAACTGTGGGCATATGAGATATCAGAGGCAGACCTTGGGCCTGAAGCCAGATCTCCAGGTTTCAAGCCCAATGCTCATATCAAAGTCAAAATTGTATTTGTCTAAACATGACGTCATGGTTTCAATCTATTTTCTAACAGGTCGTTTTAAGGTTTGACTATAGAGCGCCTTAAGACTGACAAAATGACTCTTTCTCCTACCATCTCTTTTCTTTATAGATTGCATGTAAGCTAACGTGGGCCTAACTGTGCTTTGCTGTGTTTGTGGTGGCATGGGGCTGTGAATGCCAAAGTCGCCTCAACCGATAATACCTTTCTGCATGCCAACATTGTCACAGACTGCCCTTCATTACAGAGCTTGGAAAAATCAGGCACTCTTCTGTTTTAGCATTTGTTACTTGTATTCTGTAGTAAAGCGTTGTGTATCATGCCTGCAAAAATATATAATTCATATTCCACGAAGGGAGTTATGTGTCGCTTTTTCCCTCCTAATAAATTGTTTGGCGAGGACCAGCTGGTGTCCGAAGAGCTAAGTTCCAGGAAGAAAAAGAAATGACAGCTATAGAGCATGGGCAAAGGGCTGGCCTGTTTGGAGGGAGTGCGGTGGGGATTTAAGCAGAGCCGGAAACACTGTCCCTTTTCTGCCCGGAAAAGGGTTCATGTGAGCTGTTACGAAGACAGTTTAGGGGAAAAAAATCCTAAGTAAATAGAATTTCAGCCAATACTTTCATGAACTTCACCCTTCTTTGGAATGCTTTCATTCTCTGGGGGAAAACAGAGTTTGAGTCATTTATACAGCAAGTGAGAACTTTACTGAAAAGGAAACTTCAGGAGATGTTTGCCCTTTGGTGCTTTCTGAGGACCTAATTTATGAGCTCTGCAACACTGTCAGAGAAATGTTCATTTTGGAGGAACTTGTCTCTCTTGCTTTCTTCATTATATGGACTGTAAATTTTCATGAGTGTGAGGAGGATTCCCTGACATGATTATCTGATGCAAAAGCCCTGTATCTCCCACTTAAAACAATGATTTTTCATGTCTGTTCTCCCTCTCGCCCCCTTCCTTAACTCCCTAAACTTCACACATAGCACTCTGACTTTATAAATCTTTTTATTTGATTCTGCAAACTCATTGCTAAAACGTATAATATCATCCCTGGAGCCAAGGGCATGTAACCTTTGGGTTCTCTGGGTTCCTTAAATGCAGGATGTGATTTTGGTCCTGGACAGCAGAAGGAGATGTTGAGCCAGAAGATGTTTTTTTTTTAAAAAACTTGTAAACAAATTAGTGTTACAATTTCAAATAATTAGAAAGCTGAGGGCTAAAATGACTGTTTTTGTCATGTGAACATTCTCTTCTTTCAGAGGAGCCACAGCAAAAAACCATTTAAATAAATGCTTTCTACATAAGATGAGTCTTTGGGGAACCATTTCATTTTGCTTTTAAGACAAAACATCCATTTTCTGGCCTGTCTCTCACTCCCCATTCTCTCCTGGGCACTTGTTTCGCCTATGCTAGTTGTGGCCTAAAGTGTTGGTGGCTGGCCTTGGCACTCAACTTCCGGAGCGCCGACTGTGTAGTTCCCTGGTTGTGATCGAAAGTTCTAGCAGTCATGGCAGCTTGCCCTATGTTACTTCAGAGCCTGCCATCCAAGGGGTTCGGAGAGGAAATTTTCCTTCCTTTAAAGGCATTGTCTTTCCATTTGGAAGAGAAGAATAAAATGCCACTTCTAACGGTGTTAAGTCACAGTGCAGTCTTCCTCTTAAGCAGCAGAGATGGTTGAGTTGTGGGCAGGGTTATTCTAGTGCTGATTAGATCTAGGACACTGGAGGGAGTTTCCATTTGGAACTACCCTCTACTCTTTGGTGTCTGGAGCGTCTTTCCCAGAAGATTTATTCTATTGTTTCGGCTGATGAGTACAATTTTCACTTAAAATATTCCATTATGTTATAATGACTGTGCCAATTCAGTAAATGCCTTTATTTGTTTTTATGGTCAAATTTCTAAAAGATGTGCTTCTCAGAAGACTGCCGTTTTAAGTTGGATCATGTTACATTGTTCTACAAGTTGATTAATTTATTTTATATACAGAATTCCCTGGAATTCCTAGAAGATTTCATCAGTTGTCTTTAGTCTTTCCCTTTCCATTGTTTAACAACACCAGGCGCCAGATCAGTGGTTCTTAAGTCCATGAAGCTCAGGTAACCTTATGTATCAAATTTATCAAGAGCCCCTAGTTCAAGCCCAGCTCAAGATGATGATTTAGCTTTTAGGTAATTTAAAACGTTCGAAATGATTCTGTTTTCCTTATGTTTACCCTCCTACTTCCTGGAATTTGCAAATTTGCTATGGTATCCCCATCGCAGAGAATTGTCCAGCTAGCTTACTGAAACTGTATCTCATGCAGCAGTCTGTCTGAATAGTGATGAAATGAATTTACCTCTAGGCCAGTCTCTCCTTAGAGTTAATAGGTATGCTCTGTATACTTTGTTATGATTTGCCTTCCTCCCCTCTCCTTTAAGGAAAGCAAAGGAAAATTTGTTTGGACAAAACAGAAGTTTTTCCAATGGCCATGTAGTTTTTGAAAAAAAGCAGCCGCTGGAGTTGGACTCAGTTGTAGAAGAAACCGTAACAGGGGATTATGCCTTAATCATAAATGGCCACAGTTTGGTGAGTTTGCTTAAGGCTTTTTTGTTTCTTTTTCTCCACCCCAATAATCATTTCTTTTGTGCTGTCATAATGAAATCTTTTTTTGTGTATTCAAAACAAATGACACTACTAGAAATAGGGCATATGCACTGATTTCCTGTTTGCAAAGGAAAGGGAAACTTCTAATATATATTTCATACATTATTGCTTGAACCACCACAGTGAAGGGGAGGATCTGAAGAAATCCTGAATTCAGAGGATATCAATCTTGTCTAAATGACTACAGACCGTTTAGCAGTACTGTTTAAGTGCTTTTCTGAGGGAGAGTGTCACAGCTCCCTGTTGTTTAATTAAAATAATGCAACTGGATAGATGTATTGCAATTATTGCTCTTGCTAATGTTTGTGATTTGCAGAGCACAGCCTGACCTTCATATAATTACCACACCAAATTATTGCCATTAAGATACCTCTAGTGGTCTTTCTAAATAGCAGCATTTTAGAGCGATGCCAAACAATTTGCTTTGATTAGGAAATCTGGTTCTTGTCGTAATAGAATAAACTTGCATTGTACTTTTAATGTAGTTCAGGTTCCAAATCTTGAACAAATATCAAAAGCTCTTCTGAGTTTCGAATTTAGAAAACAAAAGCTCTGATTGTACTCCAGTGAAATTATCATTTATATGCACAAAGAGCTAATCTCACATCTTTCTCCGGCTTTGATGATCATTTTTCACTTTTGGGAGTTTGGAAAATAAACGTATCTTCTTGTAGACAGTTTCTTAGAGGACAAAAGAAGTTGGAAATGAGTATATTGTATTCCCCCCCTTGTGATCAGCTGTCTGTTAGTTCTTAGTGCTTAGAGCGTTATCCAGCTGGATTCCAGACGTAATGATGTGTTGCCTTCTACCCCATGGAAAGTTACAGAGCTCAGTTGCAGGCCAAGCTTAGTTGAAAGTTTGTCCAGATGACACGAACTTCTCCTTTGCTCAAATGAGCAGCAACTGAAAATTCTAAGCCTGTCAGCTGGGACTTAGAGCTGGTGGTCTTCAAGCTGAATTGCCCCGGGACCAACCACAATAGGGAAAGGGTCCCTAATGACTTGTGCTTTGACTTTCCCTCAGGCTCAAAGAGGCCAGTGTGTGGGCAGTTAGAGTACTAAGGTGATAACACACAAGATTCTCTCTCTGTCTCTAAATCTGTTGAAAGAAAGAGCTAAGATAGACACTCCTCAAGAACCCCCTCAGCTTCAAAGCCTGAAGCTTATGAAACCATGAAATGTCATTTTTAATTTAAGGAGAACTGACTGTGTTTCTACTAGTATGATCAGTTTTTTTTAAAAAAAATCACGATTCCAGTTTGCTCAAATCTTGATGCTTTGCAGAATGTAATTGGGTCTTTCTTTCTCACAGTCTGTGTCTAGGTTTTTCACTTGTTGATAATAAAGAAAAAAGAAAAGAAAGAGATGGGAACCATTCTGAGCAAGACAGTCAGTTACACACTTTCTCTTTCAGAGAGGGTAATTATATTTGAGAAAGCTAACTCAGAATTTCCCCTAAGAATTGTAGGCTTTGACACGAGAATTTTCTGCATTACAGTCATGTTTTTATACTCATTCACCCATCCTTCCATTCATCCCATTAACATTCATTAAGCATGTCCAGGTCACTGTGCTAGAGGCTGAGGATAAGGATGTGAAGAGAACACAGTCCTTGTTTTAGGGATTGTCATCTGGTGAGAGCTAATCTCTCAGTGGTATGACAAATACTATAAGGAGGAATGGACACAGTGCTTTTTTTGCGGTATGCGGGCCTCTCACTGTTGTGGCCTCTCCCGTTGTGGAGCACAGGCTCCGGACGCGCAGGCTCAGCGGCCATGGCTCACGGGCCCAGCCGCTCCGCGGCATGTGGGATCTTCCCGGACTGGGGCACGAACCTGTGTCCCCTGCATCGGCAGGCGGACTCTCAACCACTGCGCCACCAGGGAAGCCCGGACACAGTGCTTTGAGAGCATAGAGGCAAAGCAGCACATTTAGTTCCTCATGGGAAAATCAGGGAAGACTTCCCAGAGGAAGTGATGTTTTCAGGTAGAGGAAACAGCAAGTGCAAAGGCACAAAGGCAAGAAAGAACCTGCCAAATTATGGAAACAAGCAACTTGGCCTGACAGGAGTAAAGAGTAAACCTGAAGGTGGTGGTAGAAGACAGACTCAAAAGGAATATAGGGGCCAGAGTGTGAATGGGCTGTGAACATCTCACTAAAGATTCATTCAGAGATAATGATGACTCAAAGTGTAGGTGGATTCCTGTTTTCTCTTAATGTGTTTATTAAATAATGTAGAGATGTTTTCTAGAAAAAGATTGTACTTAATTACAAAGGATTATGTTCTCCTTTTCAGTCCTTCTTTGGTATGTCTAAGAAGTGCAAGGGTGTAAGTGGCTGGGGAACCCCGTCTGAGACACAGGTTGCATGCCACCCTTTGCACAGGCCTCTCTTGATTTCAGTCGCTATGTTCTTCAAGGGCTAATCTCCAGATCATCTGCTTCTCATTTGCTCTCACATTAACAACCACAACAAGAAACACTAAATATACAAAACAACAGTGCAAAGGAAACAAAAATGTCATCATGTAGAACAGACAAATCATCATTTCGTAGTTCATTCTAAACTTGGTGAGGTGATGGATTGGTTCTGGCCTTTGCTTTTCCTTATTTTAGTGGATTCCGGACCTTTTCCGGCATTCAACTGTATCTCTCCAATGCAGCACGATAATGTATCAAGGAAGAAACAAAGGACACTGCGTCTTTTACTTTTATGGTAAAATTCCTTGGCACTAAGTAGGAGTTCAATACTCTTTTCTTTTGTTGTTTGTGTGGCCCTGAGTCAAGAATGACTTGTTGAAGTGAATTAAACTGTTTAGAAATCAGCTGAGAAACAAGAAATCTGCTTCCCAAATGACATCTCTCATTTATTATTTCTCGTTCTATTGTGGATTTAAAAAAAAAATAACGTAGGCCCATGCTCTAGAAAGTGATGTCAAGAACGATCTTCTAGAACTTGCCTGCATGTGTAAGACTGTGGTTTGCTGCCGAGTCACCCCTCTCCAGAAAGCTCAAGTAGTAGAGCTGGTGAAGAAGCACAGAAATGCTGTCACTTTGGCCATAGGCGATGGAGCCAATGACGTCAGCATGATCAAAAGTAAGGGGACATTTGCTCAACGGGGCGTGCTGCAGACCTGGAGCTCCCAGGTTCAGCACTGGGCAATATGTAATGGAGATTGCATTGCAATTTAATTTTCCCAGTGTTTCTGAAATGAATACTTTTAGGGCTCAATTCATCCACCATTATTAGCATTCATTAAAAACAAAAAAGAAAACACCTTTAACTAAATCATTTATGTATTGGTCACTGTTTGGAGAAATAAGTAGCTATGGTGTAGAGGAATGAACATTAGATACACAGTCCCAACACTAAGGTTTAGTCCCAGCTTTGCCACTTACAAATTGTAAAACTTTGTTCAAGTTACTGAACTTTCTGAGTCAATTTTCTCTTTTGAAAAACTAGGATAAATACCTATCATGAGTGTTTCATGAGATAATATATGGGAAATATTATAAATGCTATGGGTTTCTGTGAATAAATAATAACATACAAGAAGAGTGATAGGGGAATTCCCTGGCGGTCCAGTGGTTAGGACTTGGCGCTTCCACTACTGGGGGCCCGGGTTTGATCCCTGATCGGGGAATTAAGATACCGCAAGCCAAGTGGTGTGGCCAAAAATAAAAATAACAAATTAAAAAAAGAGGAGTGATAGGTTCCCCAAAGAAGTTGTGTCTTTGTTTGGGGAGTGAAACTGTCCCTCTTCTCCTTTGTAGGTGCTCACATTGGTGTCGGCATCAGCGGCCAGGAAGGACTGCAGGCAGTCCTAGCCAGCGACTACGCATTTGCACAGTTTAGATACCTCCAAAGGCTTCTCCTTGTTCATGGAAGGTGGTCCTATTTCCGAATGTGCAAATTCTTATGCTATTTCTTCTATAAGAATTTTGCATTCACACTTGTGCATTTCTGGTTTGGTTTCTTCTGTGGTTTCTCAGCCCAGGTTGGTAAAAAAGTTTCTTTCTTTTATACGATCCCCTGGATTGTAGATGACTGTTGTTCATGGCTCTTTACTAATCAATAGAGATCATTTTTATATATCTAATATAAATGACAGTGTGACAACTTATGTAATGGATAGTTGACTTGAGCTTTGAACCCAAGAAGAATATATATTTAGCTAGAGTTTTATTTTTTGCTTATTTACATAGTAACTAATGACGACTCCTTCCTGTGCATTTTAAAGTTTTTATTGAAATTTTGGGTATGATGACAGGTAAGCTTGATGTAGAGTTTTAATTCAGAATCTGAGAAACACTAATAAGAAAAGTTGAGGCATATCTGTTGGAAAGATGATCACTCACCCAACACACTGAATGTAAATATTTTAAATCAGGGGAAGGAATTGCTACCCTGACCTCAAGGCTGTTTGACAGCAATTCATCAGCTAAAAATTGATCCATAGGTTATGTTGGTAGCAAGGAAGAAAAATTAGCAAATTCGTAAATTAGGATTCTATTTTTATATCTACTTTTAGACATTTTAAAGGTTACTTAACCCCATATCTTGGATATCAGGAAAATTTTGACGCTGGGTATCAACTGTGAAATGTAAGACTTATAGCATTTAAATATATTTATGAATAAAAAATGGCATCAATATTTTAAACAACAGCAACAAAAGAAAAAGGTTGTCCTTGAGAATGAAATGGTAACTATAACTATCATTAGAGATTTCTTCAGTTGTTCTTCCTTCCTCTTTTTTTTTTAACATCTTTATTGGAGTATAATTGCTTTACAATGGTGTGTTAGTTTCCGCTTTATAACAAAGTGAATCAGTTATACATATACATATGTTCCCATAACTCTTCCCGCTTCCATCTCCCTCCCTCCCACCCTCCCTATCCCACCCTTGTAGGTGGTCACAAACCACCGAGCTGATCTCCCTGTGCTATGCGGCTGCTTCCCACTAGCTATCTATTTTACGTTTGGTAGTGTATATATATATATATATCCATGCCACTCTCTCACTTTGTCACAGCTTACCCTTCCCCCTTCCCATATCCTCAAGACCATTCTCTAGTAGGTCTGTGTCTTTATTCCCGTCTTACCCCTAGGTTCTTCACGAACTTTTTTTTTTTCTCAGATTCCATATATATATGTTAGCATACGGTATTTGTTTTTCTTTTTCTGACTTACTTCACTCTGTATGACAGACTCTAGGTCCATCCACCTCACTACAAATATCTCAATTTCGTTTCTTTTTATGGCTGAGTAATATTCCATTGTATATATGTGCTACACCTTCTTTATCCATTCATCCGATGATGGACACTTAGGTTGCTTCCATGTCCTGGCTATTGTAAATAGAGCTGCAATGAACATTGTGGTACATGACTCTTTTTGAATTATGGTTTTCTCAGGGTATATGCCCAGTAGTGGGATTGCTGGGTCGTATGGTAGTTCTATTTGTAGTTTTTTAAGGAACCTCCATACTGTTCTCCACAGTGGCTGTATCAATTTACATTCCCACCAACAGTGCAAGAGGGTTCCCTTTCCTCCACACCCTCTCCAGCATTTATTGTTTCTAGATTTTTTGACGATGGCCATTGTGACTGGTGTGAGATGATATCTCATTGTAGTTTTGATTTGCATTTCTCTAATGATTAATGATGTTGAGCATTCTTTCATGTGTTTGTTGGCAGTCTGTATATCTTCTTTGGAGAAATGTCTGTTTAGGTCTTCTGCCCATTTTTGGATTGGGTTCTTTGTTTTTTTGTTATTGAGCTGCATGAGCTGCTTGTAACTCTTGTAGATTAATCCTTTGTCAGTTGCTTCATTTGCAAATATTTTCTCCTATTCTGAGGGTTGTCTTTTGGTCTTGTTTATGGTTTCCTTTGCTGTGCAAAAGCTTTGAAGTTTCATTAGGTCCCATTTGTTTATTTTTGTTTTTATTTCCATTTCTCTAGGAGGTGGGTCAAAAAGGATCTTGCTGTGATTTATGTCATAGAGTGTTCTGCCTATGTTTTCCTCTAAGAGTTTGATAGTGTCTGGCCTTACATTTAGGTCTTTAATCCATTTTGAGTTTATTTTTGTGTATGGTGTTAGGGAGTGTTCTAATTTCATACTTCTACATGTACCTGTCCAGTTTTCCCAGCACCATTTATTGAAGAGGCTGTCTTTTCTCCACTGTATATTCTTGCCTCCTTTATCAAAGATAAGGTAATCATATATGCGTAGTTTTATCTCTGGGCTTTCTATCCTGTTCCATTTATCTGTATTTCTGTTTTTGTGCCAGTACCATACTGTCTTGATTACTGTACCTATGTAGTATAGTCTGAAGTCAGGGAGCCTCATTCCTCCAGCTCCATTTTTCGTTCTCAAGATTGCTTTGGCTATTCGGGGTCTTTTGTGTTTCCATACAAATTGTGAAATGTTTTGTTCTAGTTCTGTGAAAAATGCCAGTGGTAGTTTGATAGGGATTGCATTGAATCTGTAGATTGCTTTGGGTAGTAGAGTCATTTTCACAATGTTGATTCTTCCAATCCAAGAACATGGTATATCTCTCCATCTATTTGTATCATCTTTAATTTCTTTCATCAGTGTCTTACAATTTTCTGCATACAGGTCTTTTGTCTCCTTAGGTGGGTTTATTCCTAGATATTTTAATCTTTTTGTTGAAATTGTAAATGGGACTGTTTTCTTGATTTCACTTTCAGATTTTTCATCATTAGTGTATAGGAATGCCAGAGATTTCTGTGCATTAATTTTGTATCCTGCTACTTTACCAAATTCATTGATTAGCTCTAGTAGTTTTCTGGTAGCATCTTTAAGATTCTCTATGTATAGTATCATGTCATCTGCAAACAGTGACAGCTTTACTTCTTCTTTTCCAATTTGGAATCCCTTTATTTCCTTTTCTTCTCTGATTGCTGTGGCTAAAGCTTCCAAAACTATGTTGAATAATAGTGGTGAGAGTGGGCAACCTTGTCTTATTCCTGATCTTAGTGGAAATGGTTTCAGTTTTTCACCATTGAGGACGAAGTTGGCTGTGGGTTTGTCATATATGGCCTTTATTATGTTGAGGAAAGTTCCCTCTATGCCTACTTTCTGCAGGGTTTTTATCATAAATGGGTGTTGAATTTTGTCGAAAGCTTTCTCTGCATCTATTGAGATGATCATATGGTTTTTCTCCTTCAATTTGTTAATATGGTGTATCACGTTGATTGATTCGCGTATATTGAAGAATCCTTGCATTCCTGGAATAAACTCCACTTGATCATGGTGTATGGTCCTTTTAATGTGCTGTTGGATTCTGTTTGCTAGTATTTTGTTGAGGATTTTTGCATCTATATTCATCAGTGATATTGGTCTGTAATTTTCTTCTTTTGTAGTATCTTTGTCTGGTTTTGGTGTCAGGGTGATAGTGGCCACGTAGAATGAGTTTGGGAGTGATCTTCCATCTGCTATATTTTGGAAGAGTTTGAGAAGGATAGGTGTTAGCTCTTCTCTAAATGTTTGATAGAATTCGCCTGTGAAGCCATCTGGTCCTAGGCTTTTGTTTCTTGGAAATTTTTTAATCACAGTTTCAATTTCAGTGCTTATGATTGGTCTGTTCATATTTTCTGTTTTTTCCTGGTTCATTCTCTGAAGGTTGCTCTTTTCGAAGAATTTGTCCATTTCTTCCAGGTTGTCCATTTTATTGGCATAAGGTTGCTTGTAGTAATCTCTTATGATCTTTTGTATTTCTGCAGTGTCAGTTGTTACTTCTCCTTTTTCATTTCTAATTCTATAGATTTGAGTCTTCTCCCTTTTTTTCTTGATGAGTCTGGCTAATGGTTTATCAATTTTGTTTATCTTCTCAAAGAACCAGCTTTTAGTTGTATTGATCTTTGCTATCGTTTCCTTCATTTCTTTTTCATTTATTTCTGATCTGATCTTTATGATTTCTTTCCTTCTGCTAACTTTGGGGTTCTTTTGTTCTTCTTTCTCTAATTGCTTTAGGTGCAAGGTTAGGTTGTTTATTTGAGATGTTTCCTGTTTCATAAGGTAGGATCATACTGCTATAAACTTCCCTCTTAGAACTGTTTTTGCTGCATCCCATAGGTTTTGGGTCATCGTGTCTCCATTGTCATTTGTTTCTAGGTAGTTTTTGATTTCCTCTTTGATTTCTTCAGTGGTTACTTTGTTATTAAGTTGTGTATTGTTTAGCCTCCATGTGTTTGTATTTTTTACAGATCTTTTTCTGTAATTGATATCTAGTCTCATAGCATTCTGGTCAGAAAAGATACTTGATACGATTTCAAGTTTCTTAAATTTACCAAGGCTTGATTTGTGACGCAAGATATGATCTATCCTGGAGAATGTTCCATGAGCACTTGAGAAAAATGTGTATTCTGTTGTTTTTGGATGGAATGTCCTATAAATATCAATTAAGTCCATCCTGTTTAATGTATCATTTAAAGCTTGTGTTTCCTTATTTATTTTCATTTTGGATGATCTGTCCATTGGTGAAAGTGGGGTGTTAAAGTCCCCTACTATGATGTGTTACTGTCGATTTCTTCCTTTATGGCTGTTAGTATTTGCCTTATGTACTGAGGTGCTCCTATGTTGGGTGCATAAATATTTACAATTGTTATATCTTCTTCTTGGATGGATCCCTTGATCATTATGTACTGTCCTTCTTTCTCTCTTGTAATAGTCTTTATTTTAAAGTCTATTTTGTCTGATATGAGAATTGCTACTCCAGCTTTCTTTTGGTTTCCATTTGCATGGAATATCTTTTTCCATCCCCTCACTTTCAGTCTGTTTGTGTCCCTAGGTCTGAAGTGGGTCTCTTGTAGGCAGCATATATATGGGTCTTGTTTTTGTATCCATTCAGCCAGTCTGTGTCTTTTGTTGGGAGCATTTAATCCATTTACATTTAAGGTAATTATCAATATGTATGTTCCTATTCCCATTTTCTTAATTGTTTTGGATTCGTTATTGTAGGTCTTTTCCTTCT